CCATACTTTCTTCTGCATGGCATTTTGTGCAGTTGGCTGGCAGTTCATAGGAATGTGGAGCTATAGGGAATGGGTTAGGGATGAAATATTTTCCCACTCTTCCCAGCAGGGGTATAAATGAAGTGACTAAGTACATTGGAATCTCGAGAGCATTATACCTGTCTTTGACACCCTAGGTATTTTTGATTCAAGAGGCATTATGAAATTCCTTGACTTCTACTTCTCCCCAATTTTCTTTTAAAGCATGTATTCATTCAGCTTTCTGTCAGTGTATCTATATTATCTATATCTATCTGTCTCTCTCAATGGGGAAGAAAGAAGAGATCCCTTTATATAAGGCAGTACATAATAGAATTCACAGCTTCAAAACACAAATATTAAAAACTTTAAGTTGAATTGCATAGGTGGGTTCCCATGTTTCACTCTCCTACTTTTAACCTGATAGTGGTAATTGCTCAGCTGAAGAAATTTATTTGTCTTAAAAAAATTGTATGACAAGGATGGTCTGAACCATTACTAAGCAACTCATGTTTATGTTCTGTGTTTATGTTCTAGGTAGAAATCATATTGGTAATACTTTCCAGTTGCTCTTTTTGCCTTTCACTTTGGTTTGGTATGGTATCATGACCAGTTTCCTAAAAATTGTTCAATTAATAAAACTAAATATTGTGTTAATAAATATCGGCTAGAACGTTGATGTTAATGGATGATTGCCAGTCCCTCAATTCCCAAAATAAACCATACTACTTTAGTAATTATAGTGGAGCAGAAGGTTATAGGCATTACCTTTGAAAAATCTTTTTGAGATTTTTTTCTCATAAGTAAACGTGGTAGCTAGAGTAGTGTTTCATTAGGTGGACCATTTTAGTTTAATGTTTATTATTCCTTTTAGTTCATATTGATGCAGTTCTGCAAATGGGATCACAGGGCTGGACATTTATGATCTGAAATACAGCTGATACTGTTTCAGAATCCTACAGTTAGATTTGAGGTATAAGTAGATTCAAATTTGGGGGGAGGATAGTTCAACAGCATGGGTGAGATGTTAGAATTATAGGTAGGATTTAGGGCTTAATATGAATAGACAGGTTGAAATTTGGTTGACTGTCCTTGATGTGCTCTCCAAAAGGATGAAAGCTTATAAGGGTGGAGAAGAAAGGATGGGAATCTCTTTAATTATAGTGATGGGTTGGTCATATTCTCTTCTGTTCTAGGAAGTGCCATATTCATTAGTTGGTAGATAACATATAGGAAAAACTTCATTCTAGTTGCTAGATTGCGTTTTGCCATATGAATATGTTAATAGTTTGCCTTAATTCTGAAATTAGAGTGATTGAATTTCTAGTTCTAGCTGGGTGCTGGCTAAGGTTTTCACCATGTGCCTCCTATTTAGTTAACTAGCAAGGGTATTTTCTGAGATACTTAGTTTGTAAATAAGTTCCTTTCTGTTCCCTTACTAATTTAATTTTTAGCAGGAATATAATTTTGTGCTCCAAACCTCTTCACTGAATTTCTTCAGTAACTGTATTATGCAGCTAAAATGAGGAAGACAGCTACTTTAGTCTATAATACTTAGCTAAGCATGGCAAAACAACTTTGAGACTTGGTTGAGATAATCAGGACAGATTTAGTCCCTTTTTGCTAATTGAAATTTGCGTTCAGTTTATTAGATAACTACAGAAAGTATGTGCCTTTATATATACCTATTCAAAATAGAAAAGATGAAGAAAATGGTTAGAACAGAAGAAAACAAAATCAGAGGGAAGAGTGTTTAAATTTCATTTAGTCTTAAGAATTTTTACTAATTTATTACCTTAAGTGCATGCAGTATGTTAATGTCAGGCAAGAGATTGAGTCCTCTCTTTGGTACTAGTTTAGCCAAAGTAATCATGGCTTTATTTATAAATGTTTATTACTAGACTCAAATAAGGAATTAAAGGATATATTATACATAGATCTAATCTAGTTTGAACCTGATGACTATTATTTTAAAAGAATACTGTCTGGATGTAGTGGTCTGAGTCAGTGCTTCTCAAATCCTGATCGGCATATAAATCACCTGGGAATCTGATTAATTGGTCGGTCTGGGGCAGGGCCTGATATTCTGCATTTCCAGCAAGCTTCCAAGAGTTGCCATGATGCTGGTTCTCAGGCCACACTTGGAGTTTGCAAGACTTTGAGGTACCAAAAGGGTCCTTGTATAAAACAGGTTCGCTTTAAATATGGCTCAGTAGCACAGGATTTGAGAACTGTTACTAAAACGGACTTTATTGTGGTTGATGAATGGAATAAAAATGCTTTTTAGGGATCAGAAGAAACAAAAAGAGGTTTCATCTTTCATATTAATCAGTGTTTTGATCACTGGAATAGTGAAGAAATAGGCCTTCATTAAGGTGGTGTTTTATAATTATACATATTATGTATACATGTATAATACTGTGTAATAATGTTATATATGTTCTTTACAAGTAACTCTGAGTAGTAATAATAATAGGTTTATTTTATTAATAACGACAAGGCAGAGATTTTGCTTTCATTTAGATTGGTATGGAAAGAAGGGCTAGGGGTGCCTGTTACTAGAATCCTTTGAAGTTTATATGCCCTTAATTGGCATTACATTTTATTTTATTTTTTTTTTTAATAATTTTTTTATTGTTATGTTAACCACCATACATTACATCATTAGTTTTTGATGCAGTGTTCCATGATTCATTGTTTGTGCATAACACCCAGTGCTCCACACAGAATGTGCCCTCTTTAATACCCATCACCAGGCTAACCCATCCCCCCACCCCCCTGGCATTACATTTTAAAAAGTAAAGATTAAGAGATTCTTTTTTGGGTGTTTATAAAATATTACTGTTGACAATATTATTTTTGAATCATAAATTATGAATATAATCAATTTTTGAATAATTATGAATATAATTAAATTAGTGTTAAATATATTTGCATTTGATTTTGTAAGTAAAGTTTAAATATTATGTTTCTTTGTGTATTTACATAGGTAATTAATATCTAAAAATCAATAATCTTCAAATTTGAGAGTTCCATGTTTGAGTATATGAAACAAATAAACTGATTTTAACATTTTTTAGTTTGTGCTTTTTTGAAATATCATTCGAAATTTAACTTGAATTTTTTGTAATTAAAAGTGGGTATTTATGGGACATTCAGTATTTATTACCTGTGATTTAAAATAGACTGTAATCTTCATGACAAGATTTAAGCAAAAGAGAATTACATGTCACATCCCTCTAATGAATCCCAAAATAGTAAAAGTTTACTATGTGAAATGTATTTCTAAGTTCTGACTGGTGTCCTGTATTTGTTGTTCATGAGATGGCTGTGGAATTCTCTAGAACAAATTATCATACTCTAATCCCAGGGCTGGTTTTGTGAGTCTTGTAAGATTTTCAAAAATTGTTAATTAAAAATTGAAAAATAATGCCTTACTCTGAAACAGAATTAAACTCAGTCAACTTACATACTTTTTAGGAAACTTAAATTCATTTGTCAGCAGGCAGAAACAGGAAGACAGTTCCCTTTAATGTTTCTTTTTTTTGTACGTGGCAGCATGTTGCTATGGCTTCTGTAGTTCTTCATAACCTTTCTACTATTAAACACTTCTAGTTGAGGCAAAGGAGAGATTATATTTGGTTTGCAGGGGAAGGGGTAGAATAGCATTTGGAGGGTTTATATGAGAAGGAGACTATGGGAAGCATGGCAAAGGGAGGCGGGAGGCAGGAGGGTACCATGAAACTACCTACCACAGCCATTATTGACCTCTTTCTCTATCTATCCTACACCCCATTTGGAAGTTAAGCAGTGAAGTGGCAGATTATCTTGTGAAAGCTAAACAGAAGAGGAAGAGAAGAATGGATACTTGAAATGTTAATAGCTCCTTTATTCTGCTTTATGGGAGAAACTTTGGAAAATAATAACCACTCAGAGTTTATCCAGATGGATCAGTCAGGGCATTTTTCAATTTCCCTTGCATTTCTATCTTAGAAACACCAAACATCCACACCAGAAAACCAGCTCATCTCCCAACATGCGTCAAAACTGTGGCATATATGTATATACAAGAATTCAAAGGAGAAAGTGGGGTTATATATATGTAGTCCTGATTTCTTAGATGTAATATTTGCTTTGGGGCTCCTTTTCTTTTTCTTCCATCCTCTTCAGAATACTTCCTTTCACTTGCTGATTTACGGCTGTACTTCTAGAGACTAGGGAGATTTGGTTTTGCTCTGTTTTGCTTTTAGCTGTTGCAAGCTAGGATTGTGATACTATTCATCTGCTTGATTACAAAAATTCTACTGCAACCAAAATTTTTTGGATGTCACATAGTTTGTCATCCAAGGATTTGACCAAAAACTCATTTTTGGTCTGCTCCGCTCTACCACTTTACCTCCCAGGAATGTTTTGAGAAAACATAAGAAATGATTGGAATAGTTTTTGTGATAATTGCTATCTAAATTCAAGGGTATTCTTTTAATAACCAAGATGAAATCCTATCTTTCAGGGAAATCTTTTCTGGGCCCTTTGTGCCTGTGTATCTGAGAGGCAGATACACAGCAAGGCAGGTTAAGGGCATGGTCTCTAGAGCCCTGCCCTGCCACTTAAGTGTGTGGTTTTGGACAGATCACTTAAACGGTACAGATACGTCACCCTCCTCATTTGTAAAATAGGGATGATAATAGCACCTATCTTAATTGGTGTGAGACTTAAGTGAGTTAATGTATGTAAAGCATATAGAACAATTCCTGGAACATATTAAGTGTCATATAATTGTTAGCTATTATTAATATCATTTTTGGAAATATTAAAAGAAATTATATCACGTAATTAATATTGGCTATACTTGGATTTAAAAGTTAATAGCTTTATGCTTTTGTTTTAGGTATATTAACTATTACCTTTTTCTCATTATTTTGTTTACATTTTTGAAGGTTTCCCAATGAGTGGATCATGATGACCGTATTGTAGGGACTTGCCATAGTATGGCTGCTTCCCGATCTACTCGTGTTACAAGATCAACAGTGGGGTTAAACGGCTTGGATGAATCTTTTTGTGGTAGAACTTTAAGGAATCGTAGCATTGCTCACCCTGAAGAAATCTCTTCTCATTCTCAAGTACGATCAAGATCACCAAAGAAGAGACCAGAGCCTGTGCAGATTCAGAAAGGAAATAATAATGGAAGAACTACTGATTTAAAACAGCAAAGTACTCGAGAATCATGGGTAAGCCCTAGGAAAAGAGGACTTTCTTCTTCAGAAAAAGATAACGTAGAAAGGCAGGCTGTAGAAAATTGTGAGAGAAGGCAAACAGAACCTGTTTCACCAGTTTTAAAAAGAATTAAGCGTTGTCTTAGATCTGAAGCACCAAACAGTTCAGAAGAAGATTCGCCTATAAAATCAGACAAGGAGTCAGTAGAACAGAGGAATACAGTAGTGGACAATGATGCAGATTTTCAAGGGACTAAACGAGCTTGTCGATGTCTTATACTGGATGATTGTGAGAAAAGGGAAATTAAAAAGGTGAATGTCAGTGAGGAAGGGCCACTTAATTCTGCAGTAGTTGAAGAAATCACAGGCTATTTGGCTGTCAATGGTGTTGATGACAGTGATTCAGCTGTTATAAACTGTGATGACTGTCAGCCTGATGGGAACACTAAACAAAATAGCACTGGTTCATATGTGTTGCAGGAAAAGTCAGTAGCTGAAAATGGGGATTCGGATACCCACACTTCAATGTTCCTTGATAGTAGGAAGGAGGACAGTTATATAGGCCATAACGTGCCTTGCACAAATTCAGAAGTGCAGGTCAAGTTGGAGGACCACAAAATAGTAACTGCCTGCCTGCCTGTGGAACATGTTAATCAGCTGACTACTGAGCCAGCTACAGGCCCCTTTTCTGAAATTCAGTCATCCTTAAGGGATTCTGAGGAGGAAGTAGATGTGGTGGGAGATAGCAGTGCCTCAAAAGAGCAGTGTAATGAAAACACCAATAACGCCCTGGACACAAGTCTTGAGAGTATGCCAGTCTCTGGAGAACCAGAATCATCTTCTGTTCTAGACTGTGTTTCAGCTCAAATGATGTCTTTATCAGAACCTCAAGAACATCGATATACTCTGAGAACTTCACCACGAAGGGCGGCCCCTACCAGAGGTAGTCCCACTAAAAACAGTTCTCCTTGCAGAGAAAATGGACAATTTGAGGAGAATAATCTTAGTCCCAATGAAACAAACGCAACTGTTAGTGATAACATAAGTGAATCTCCCACAAATCCTGATGAAATTTCTCAGAATGAAAAAGGAATATTTTGTGACTCTGAAAATTATGGGAGTGAAGGACTAAGTAAGCCACCCTCAGAGGCAAGACTTAATATTGGACATTTGCCATCTGCCAAAGAGAGTGCCAATCCGCACAATACAGAAGAAGAAGATGATGATCCTGATGTTTATTACTTTGAATCAGATCATGTGGCACTGAAACACAACAAAGAGTATGTGTAAATATGGTAACCATGAATTCTGCTTTGTTTATTATTCCCCCACGTTTGCGGTATCTGTTCATAAATGTCTATTCATAGCATTTTTATTATAGCTAAGATTAATGCTTTAGCTGAAATTTTAGGTTTAACATAATGATTATCTCAACTCTTAAAAAACCTCCAAAAAAGGAAAGACTTTAAAACTCAACTTTATTACTCCTCTCAATGGCTATATGGTTTTTCTAGTTTTGATATTTCACACATCTCAATTAGAAAAGACGTGGAAACGTGGTTGATGGCGTTTTTATTTATTAATAAGTTTTATACCATTTCAGTTAATTTGTAAAATGGAAACATCTTTAGTTATCACAATACACTTTGGATTTACAGTTGTAGAGCTTTATGAAGTGTCTGTGCCTTCCAGACAGCATAGAACAATTAATGAGTGCTTAGACATCATATAGATAAGGGAAATCTGGCAGGCTATCTAATTTCCAATTAAAACTTTTCATTTAAAATGTACTTTATGCATTACCTTTGACTTTCATGATTTGCAGAAATAGATATTACTATTAAAACTATGATAGGTAATTGTATATTGTAATTAGCACATTAGCAAGAGTTATAGTTGGCTCTATAGTTTACATAAAGTATTTGAGACAACTTTCTCCTGATTCTAAATTAGAAGGGGAGGCTATCTTAAAATGCTGTCATTTCTTAACCTTTGTAATGAAGGTACTTTTAAAAATAGAATGTCCAAATTTATCACGATTTTGCTTAGATTTGCTTTAAAGTATTCTGGATAGTAACACAAATGAATTGGAACTAACTCTGAATAATCCTGAAAGGAACATTAATGAACAGTGAACAGTGCTTATCATGAATATCGTGATCAAAAACAGTAAAAGACATATATGAGTTAATCACCTTTACTCCTACAAAGTAAGCTTTTGAATTATTAGCACAGATTTTATAGGCTGTGTGAAAACACTGATTTGAGAAAACTTTGTAATGTTCTTATTGTGACAATTCCCAGATTCTGGTATGTATCAGATCAAAGTATCAAATCCTAGTTGTGGACCATGACATAATATGGTGGCCTTTTAGCATGTTTCTTCTCTGAAAATTTTCCTTTTTTTTTTTTTTTTTAATAAAAGGTATTTTACTATTTAGTTTAGCAGAGAGGTCATTTTATCCGAGCATTTTATTCATTCATTTTGTAAAATGGTTAGCATTTTTATGTATTTGAAATATCTGAAGTCCAATTTGAGGTAGAAAACTCAATAAATGAATAAGTGAAGTTTTTTCCAATTTCAGATAAATAGAATTCTTACCATTAGTATTATGCATCAGTTTTTAAAAACAGAGTTGTTATCTGCAGGCAGAAGAAGCAGAGCATATGTTAGAGAAAAACCAAGAATTCAAGAAGTGTGCATTTTTATAAAATGTTCTTTTTATTTCTGTTCTTTTTATTGTTTCTTTGGCAAAGAGATGCTCTCTTAAGGCTTAGCTGGTATATTGATGGAAAATATTTTCCCATTAATTCATTATGTTACATTTTTTGTTGGAGCTCTCCTGATGATCATTCTCAGGGATGATAAACCTATAAAACAGTTGTCTAAAGATAATGGCCATAACATTTAAAGAGTAATGTTCCATATTCTTAAGCCTTTGAGAATGAGAACAATATAGTTTCATGGGTTTCTCACGGTGTGCAAAGTCCTTTGGGATTTGGGTGGTAGTTGCTTTTTTGGCGACAGTATTTTCAATGTAATGCCTCATTTGGTGACGTTGGGCAAAAGAAATAACTCCTCCTTGCTTTTTTGCCTTCCTCCAGTCCTTTGAAGGTAGCACCTTTAGACACTTCACTTTTAACTTTTTTCCCTCCAACGGAAGCATATTGGGAAGAGTGAGATGGAGAGTGAGAGTGTCTTGATTAGCATCTTGGTTAGAGATAATTTAAAGAAAATTGAGAGAGGATGTTTGATCATGTTAGATGTAATCTCTTTTCAGTAACGTCCTTTTTCCTTTGCTTTTTGTTTAGAGCCGAGAGATGGTTGGATATAATGTTGGCTTTTTTTTTTTTTTACCCAAATTGTCATTGTAAAAAATAGCATCATGATACCCATCTTGTGCTTTGAGGTCTCAAGTTAATTTCTATCGGTTTGAAAATGCATTTGGAGTAAAGAAGAAAAGATAAATGGGTAGATGGAATAATACTCTCCTGCACATGCAGGTGCACAAATACACCCCCATCAAATATTTTTTTTTCTTTCTTATTCTCTTCATGCTAGTAAATTTCCCCAGATAAGTGCCTTTGAAACTGGGAATTGGGCATTGCCCAGATTACACATGAATATCTTTACCAGTAGGGAATGAATACTTCCTGATGGCCAGATTCAAAAATATGTTATTGATAGAAAACACTGAGCAGGCATATTTCTTTATCCAGAGCCGAGAGAACATGGCTCTTCTCATTCCATTTGCAAATTAACACTGATTATTTAATCAGCAACCTTCTATCCTACCATTTAGCCTATAATTTATCTGTCTTATTTGCAAGGGTATTACATATAGGGTCATCTAATGACTTGTAAATTTTTGAAAAGATATTGTGTGTAGAATCCTAGCCTTAGACCTGATTCATGGTAATTAGACCATAGGCCAGAGACATGAATTTGTGGGGATTCTGGATTCTTAACCCTGTTTCCTCTCTAGATGCCATCCCTCTTATTCACATAAACCCACAGTGTGCTTTTATATATTTATTTTTCCAAATGGAGAACTCTACTAGGAACAAGGGAAGGGGGACTGAAGATTAACTTTTTTTCCTGGCAAGATTCCAGGTGTGGATTATTTTATTAGATGTGAGTGGGTGGGGAATCAGAAGAAATACACTTTGTGTAAAAACTCTGGTCTTCAAGATTGAAAGATTCTGTTAAAGTGGTAGATAATACCTAGTGACTCCCTTTTGGGCCTAAATAGCCAGACTGACTGAGATCATGTATTTAACTGTGATTTGCTTTTTTTCTTTGGGAATTGACCTTTTGTGGATTTTGAATCAGAAGTATTGAATCAGGTCTCTCAGATTTGAGGTTCTGGCTCTAGGGAGAGCAGGTAGGGAAAGTCCTGGGTTTTAATGTTCAGAGCTTTTTTCCCCAATTCACAAGGCCAATCCTGGGAAATAAATATTCAAAAGAAAATGTGATTTGGTCAATTTTCTCTGAATTCTCATTGTACAAGAATACTTAAGTAAATTATTTGAAGGGCTTTGGATATCTTCATTTAAAGATCTGGTAACTTTTCATAAACAGGCAGAGGGATGAAAAGTCAGATTAAGAGTTTTTGGATTCTTGAGGTCTTCTGAAGGGTTAACTCATTGATAAGATTATTAATGTTTATACCAATTTTCAAGTTTCTAGATAATGAAAGTATAACAGTAAGCTAGTTACTGCTTATCAAAAGAGTAATGCTCATATCGTCTGTAGGGAAGAAATTTTCAAGCCATATTAAAGAATATAGGAATTGTATTTTTAAACTTGGTTCTCTGAAAACATTAATGTACTTTAAATAATTATGATATGTCCTTTTATACTACGCTTATGTGAATCATTTGATATCTTCATCAGTTTCAGAAGCTGCATAGAGAAAATCTTCATCAGGTTTTATTGTAGATTCACTTTCTTTGAGACTACTTTTACTATTTGTCTAAGTTTCTCTCGAGGGGCCAGAAGGCTCCAGGACTAGGGATGGATTTTGCTTAAAAGCAATAGAGAGTCATTCTGCCCTAGATAAAATAATGTTACATTTGTACTTTGCTTCATAAGGTACAAAGTGATTTCCTCTAGTTTCTCATTTGACACCCACTACAACTCAGAAGTAGATAGCATAGGTAGCATTATACAGTCCCCATTTCCTAACTTATAATTAAGGTTTTATTTTTTCCTTTTTTTTATTATATCAATCACCATGTATTACATCATTAGTTTTTGATGTAGTGTTCCATGATTCATTGTTTGTGCATAACACCCAGTGCTCCACACAGAATGTGCCCTCTTTAATACCCATCACCAGGCTAACCCACCCCGTCCCCCCTCCCCTCTAGAACCCTCAGTTTGTTTCTCAGAGTCCATAGTCTCATGGTTCGTCTCCCCCTCTGATTTCTTCCCCTTCCTGCTATCTTCTTTTTTTTTTTCCCCCTTAACATATAATGTATTATTTGTTTCAGAGGTACAGGTCTGTGATTCAACAGTCTTACACAATTCACAGCGCTCGGAGGGTATGTGCTATAATTAAGGTTTAAAAGTTATTTATTGAAATTCTGATGAACTACTGGGAGATATAGGACTAGAACTCCCATATTCTAATTCATAGTCAAATATAGTCCTGGTTATCTGAGGGAGCAGATACTGGGTACTCAGTTTTCAAAATTCTTTAGTCCGAGTTTAAGCTCTGTAATTGTAATGATTATCTGGTTTTATCTGTCAGAATCAGCATTATAGGTAAGTAACCTGTTCTATTTATTGGATGAAATGTTTTCATGTTCATTGTTTTAAAGAATATTGTGTCTGTGAAAAATAATTGCCCTGTACGAATTGGGTATATAAAACTACTTGCTACAGCTTGACTTTAAATAGATAATTTGGATAATTTGCAAAAAATACTTTGGGGGATGTTTAGGATGCAATTGAGTATATTAAAGTCAGAGGTTACTAGGGAAAACTCATGCATAGTGTACCTTCTTAACTAATTGGAAAAAGCTGTGGAATATAACAGCCAGAGTGGCCCCAGTAGTTTGGCACAGAATTTAATGAGAGGAGGGAAATAACTGTCCTTAATATGAAATTTTTGCTTGTAAGAGATAGAGTATGCCATTGACTACTCAAAATCATCAGTGCAGTGAACTCTTGGTTTTTTCCTTTGAATGTCAACATCTTTTATTTCAAGTGATGTAAATGGTTTATAAAAGTGATTCTCTGTTGTAATCCAAGTGTATTTGTACCTGAGCATAA